TGCGCGGCGCTTCGTTTCGCCGCAATCGCGAGGTCCAGATTCTGGAAACAACCCCCCGCGGAGGACGTTGCCGAGGTCTTGACGTTAACGAGACATCCTCGTGTCCTTATGCGCGAAGCGCTTAAAGGTCGAGATTAACGTTAAGTGACATCGCTCGGCTACGGTGAGTCCGGCGCGACGGAGTCGTCGTATAGTCACCTTCGTTCGCGGAGCAACGAGACGACGCGACGTCTCTCGCGAGGGGTGTGTGCGAAAGGGCCGCGAGAGAGAGTAGAGACGGAGAGAGAGCCGATCGATAAGCACCGAAAAGCGGAGCGGAAAGAGCGGCGGCACGAGTCCTCCGGCCGGAGCGCGATCCTTTCCTACTAGAGAGAACGCGATGCTGCGACCTGCGTGCGTAATCTCTCCCTGGTCATCATACCGACTTACGTCCATCGCTTTCACGCGATGTACGCGCGCACGCGTGCGTATCCACGCATAGGCGGGATGGTCAGGCGGGATCTTCGTGCTTCGTAAAATATCTCCAAAATTCAAATACTCGTCGGACGTTTCTCCGAGCCAGAGTGGAAGGGACGCAGCTTTTCCATCCGGTGTTGCCGCGGAAATTTACTTTGAGATCTCGTAGTTCCATGTGTGATCGAACGCAAAGTGTAATACCCGAGATACCCGGGATTTCCTCGGGTACCTCTCGGACCGATCGACGTTGTACGAACCCACGGTAGGCCCGAAATTCTCAGACGCAATAAACCCATTTGATATCATCGTGAGTGCCATTTGATATCATCGGCTAGACCTTTTCAATTGTGTTTGCGTTTGGTGCTCTAGATAATTAACAAGAAGAATTGTTATACACAAATTGTTACACATGCGAATCTTACCGATGCATCTTGAAGAAATTGATACCGAATTTCGGATGGCATTGTGAAATGGAAGCGAGAAGGACTCTTCCATCATACATGGTAATATGGCATTTGATATAACATATTAATCACTTTATTATAGCACACTAATTATCGAAATTTCGAGTCCGTGTATCTATATATATGCATCACCACCGCATCAAATAAATTAATTTCGTAAAATTAAAAATAAAATCAATTTTTTATAAATAATCTTTATTATATCATATCAATTAATTTTTGATTATTAATGAAGCTTTCAGTGTGTAATCGTGTTTCTAAAAATTACAAAAAATATAAATGTGAAGCACATAAATGGAGGAGCACATAAAAGCCACGCGCAGAATTTGACCGTTATCGAGCGTGATTCCATTGTTAAATAAACAATATATTGTTAAATAATCAATTGATATTATTATTGCTAAAAATGTCTTGCGTGGATGTTGATCGCTAAAAATAAAATCATAATCATATTAAGAAAGAAAAGAATAAATTCGATTCGAAATCTTTTATCTTTAACAATATGTTTATATCAATATCTTCGAGCAACAGTGGCAATTCAGATATATTTCAGATGTATTTAACTTAGCCAATATAATGAAGTAAAAGAGAAAAAATATATAATATCCTTACGTATGTGAATATAAATATATATAATAATATCTTAAAAAATACATATATATATATATATATATCTAAA